TTTTTTTTTTCTTTCTAGTTCCGTAGAAATGCTTTTATTTACCACCGGAGCATCTCCTCTTTCTCTTTCAATCGTTGGCGGACGTCCACGACCTGATGTTAATTACTTGCTGGAACAAAGCTCGAGCAAAGAGCATTCAGGATTTTTGAGAAAAAAAAAAGAAAGTTCGATATGATATCCTGGCCTCGCGATTCAATACGATCACGAGCACAAGTTAAAGGAAGATAAGAACGTCACGCCTTGGTCTTTCCTCCTCGTGCACGTCCCCTAAACATATAACGTTGTAATTTCATCCAAATTTCAAATCGATCGTGAAGAGTTAAAATCTCACTCTTGTAAGATGAGATAAGCAGGAAACGCGTCATCCAAACCACAACACTAGCGTGTATCGTACAAAGATACAGAATATAGAATGTATGTACTTACATGTACCCTACAAATAGTAGATAGGGCGATGGTAAAAAGAAAGGATGGTATATCTAAAGTATTAAACTTACCAACACACCAACAAATCGAGCTTCTTTTCTTCTCTTCTATTCTCTTTTCTTTCTCGCTCTCTCCTTTTTTTTTCACTTTCTCCTATCGAGGAGATTTCTGATGTTTCAGAGGTTTCCGATCCCTACGAGGCAGTGTAATGCAACGAGAGCGGAAAAAGTTTTTAATATACTCCATCTACGCTTGGGGTTGCGCATTGATTCTCACCGGTGTTTGCGTCATTGTGGACTTTTTCCCCGACATTCCGGAATATGTTATCAAGCCACAATTTGGCAGACAAAATTGCTGGTTTACAAGTAAGTCCTCGTACTCCCGATAAATTGGTTTGACATTCGACGATACTGAAAATGATAACCGGAATCGTAATTTCGATAAATGTGTGTTGCAGCTCGTAACGCAAGGGCGGTATACTTTTACGGTCCGATGGGCGTTACCGTTTTCTGCAACATATGTCTCTTCATTTCCACGGCATTGAAGATCGTGCAACATAAAAAGAACACGGCTCAGCAACTAAAAGGCACGGACAGTAGGCGGCATGACGACAATAAACAATGGTGCATTTTCTTTTTATTCCTGTTTTAAATTTTTATTCCGTTTGCCTGGCGAAATTCTAACATTTTTACGTTTTGAGTAAAACACATTCGAAAGAAAAAAAAAGACTAAGAGACTTTGTTACTTTGCTTTCGTTCGAATCGATTAAATGTGTATTCTCTAGCGACTCAACCCATTTCGCTTACCTAATTAGATGTTATATATATATTATGTGACTCCTCCTGATTGAAACTACTCTCTACAAAAACGATACAACACCACAATTACTAAATGATAAATCTCCGTTTCCGTTCTTTGTATCAGCGTACTTCGTACTAGATCGTACTATATATATATATATACGTACGTACGTGGATCGCTCTTATTGTACGCTCTCTTATAACGATGAAATTATTTTCGGACCTTCTCTCGGAACGCGTTCAACAAAGATTTTCCCATGCTTCGATTTGTTTTCGTAATGACGGAACAGGCGGGTCCCTCTCACGTAACAAATACATACACACATCCGTTCGAGAAGAGGGTCTCGCACTGTGCGAGATCGCACGTTTCATCTTTTAGGCTCGCGATCGTTTACATTTTCTTGCGTCTACGTGCTCTTAACTATTACACTCACCACTCGCTCGTTACTTGTACATACATATGTATGTACTTGCATGTTTCACAGAACGTTCGCCATTCACACTATTCCTCTTCGCGTGCATTGTAAATTTACATCGGTGTACGAAAAAAATAGAATCCGTATAGAATTATTTTCATCTTTAATTTTAATCCTTTATTTAATTTATCCAGGTTCAATCTGTACTTGAAACTCTTCATCGTAATGGGCATCAATTGGTCAATGGAAATAGTGTCGTGGCTCTGCGACAATTCACCGGCTTACATTTGGTATCTTACAGATCTTACAAATACTTTGCAAGGTGTAATCATCTTTTTGATCTTCGTCTGGAAAGATAAAGTCAAACGACTGTTACTAAAAAGATTTGGTTGTCGCGGAAGTAACGTTCTGTCGAGGACTCGCAGTACTTGTCATAGTTCAGCCGTCTCTCGTACTTCTACATTGACGACACAGTTCCAGGAGAAAATCGACCTCTATTCCAATGATCCATCTGGCAAATCAATCGTTGATAATTAATAACGATTATATTTGAGCTATTCGTTTGTGCAATTCGTAAGTAAATTCGTCTGCGGCTTCCGTCACTTCTCGATTTCTCGCAAAAGTACCAAAATTTTTTCCCTTCCATTCTATTGGCATGAAAAATGATACAGTGGATTGAATCGAATTGAAATGAAATGAAATGAAATGAAATGAAATGAAATGAAATGAAATGAAATGAAACAAGATCGAACCAAACAAAAAGAGATGAAATGAAATGATGCAAAGCAAAATATGTATGTAACTCAACAAAATAGGAAACGAAAGAAATATATATATTATATATTTATATATACATTTATTACACACACACACACACACACACACACACACACACACACACACGTGTGTGTATGTACATCGAAAAATATTATTAGATCAATGCCATTCATTCAAATTTGCATTCGGTTAATATTCGAGTCACATTGGGTATTCGATACATCGATTGACCAGCGAACGAAAATAAAGTGTTCAATGTGAATTTCACCGAAATGTATCTAGTCATCGCTAATGGGCTACTTTTCTAACGTTTAAATTTACTACCATATAATCTATAAATATTATATTTGCATATGAAGCATATAATTTTTATTTCATTTCACATGTATCGTATCAAAAATGGTAATCATTGCCAACAGCATGCAAATATAAATTAAGAAGCTTTAAAAATTTTCAAGTTTGAAATCATTATATCGTCAAGATTAATGTACGAATAAATTAGAATAAATTATTACTTTGTAATAGCTACACTTTTTTCTCTTTTATAATCTAAAAGTTGTGCTAGTAATAATCATAATCGATATTCAATATCACAAAGTTTTATCAAATTCTACCTTATAAACTTAATTTTTATTATATGAAAGCAAAAGGAGCATGTTATCATATATGTACTCGTGTATCGACATATGTATTGTTTGCCATTTTTGTCATATTAAATATACAAAAACTTTATACATTTTTCTTATAAATCTATTCGCATACATCTATTAATTAAACACACATTACATATACTTAAAATACAGTACAAGTAATTAATATCTAAAGTAATATACTATACTGAATCTATTTATTAAACATTACATACCAGAGAATTGTAACATATTTATAAATCGTATTGTTCGCATTAAACGCGTAAATGTCATCGTTGCTTTATCGGAATAATAAAAGAAAAGAAAAAAAAAAAAAAAAACCGGCGGTATGGTAGTAATTCATTACATCCTTTCCTTGTATTTACGCAAATACATCTTCCCTATCAGCTCCAACACCTTCTCCATCCTCCAAGCTGGAGAAGTTCAAAAAGTGAGCAGGTCTGTGAATTTCGTGATAGAATTCCTTTGGATTCGCCAATTGCAATTCATATTTCATGTTCGGATCGTGTCTCACACCTGTAATCACCGAAAATGATAATAATATTGTATTGATATTTAACTATCAGATAACAAAAAGAAATATAATTAAATTGACACATGTCTTACCCATAAAGTTATAATTCCAAGATCCTTGACTCGGAACCATGAAAAATCCGAGGAAACGATCCGACAATAACATTTGTACCTTTTCATAATGACTTGGTAAGTAACCTTTAGGATTATTTCCTTTATCGGTATTTTGTTTTCCCCATTCGAAACCGCTGAAAATGGATACACGTATGTACAGTTTTACAACAAAAGAACCGGAAAATGTTTAACAATGACAATAAACATTCTATTCGCTCGAAATACGAACCTGGGTGTTAATTTATATGCCGTAAGAGAACAGGATCCTGGCGTAAAACTACAGGTAATAACGATAGTTTTCTCTCCATCCCAAATTGGATTTTCTGCCATTATTCGAGCATGTGTAGATATATCCTGGTAAAACAACATCGCATTAATACGATATACATTGTTTAATAAAGTAAAGAATAGCCCTAAATCAAATTCAATTGATAAGGATGTATCCACATATGTATAATACGAACCTGTGGAGACAATTGTGGCAATTCGTTAGGTTGAGTGTGAATCCAACCGAGAGGCTCCATCTCTTTAAGATACTGATGATTCGGAAGTGTATTAGGCAAGTGAACTGTTTGATGAGTACCCCACTGCGGCGCCATAACTATACATCGTATTTCTTTAACTTGTGGGTTATCCGGTGGACTGATTCCATACAAATATCCCGCAATCTGCACAAAAGAGAAAACATAAAAAGAATTATATTATATTATATTATATTTTATCTTCTACTCAAATCAAAGACTTTAGAAACATACCTGCGCTCTCAAGTCAGAGATGGTAACAAATTTCTTAAGAACGTTCTTTGGCAAAATATAAGTATAACCGGTCTCTTTAATGTCATCAGACGATACATATATATGATTGGTTCGAAGATGTAAATTGGTAGCTGAAATTGCTCTTACTCGCCATTCAGTTTTCGAACTAAATGTTTGTGTTTCGTAATTGGAAGTTGTTGCTGTAATAATTTCATCTCCGTGCTTATTTACTGTTCGTGTCGTTGTTGCCGTGAGCTGCGATTGTTCTTTCGTCTGCTTTTCTATTTCAGCAATTTGTTGACGTTGTGCCGATGGTGCACTAATTTCCATACCCAAAATGATATCTCGAATTTCAGATTGAGTCAACGATGCAACGTTCACACTGAGAATAAAAAAAAATCTCGTATTTGTTTTATAGTTGTATTTTGGTACATATTGTATAAAGAAAGAAAAAGATAACTATCGTACGTACTTGTTCTTTTTACCATAATCAGCCAAAATAAGATCTTTTAACTGTACTTCGACTTTGATCCATTCATCGTCTGTTAAAGAAGGCCATATATGATGTGGTTCCGTTATAGTTGTTTTATCAGGTTTTAGAACAACTTTTGTTCTCTCAGTGTTAACATGTAATGCGCGAAGGATAAGAATCAAACGCGAGAAAGCCTATAAATAAATAAATAAATAAATAAATAAATAAATAAATAAATAAATAAATAAAATGATCCATAAATATGAGTTCCCGACAAAGCATATGAATTCTCAAAAAGAATTTAAAACTACAATTTAAAAATGAAAAAATAAAAAGAAAGAAAAAAATATATAATAATGCTTATATACTTACCGTATACGATGAAATGGTTTTCAACCAATCATCATATAAGTTGAATAACACCATTTGAGGTTCTGTTGCCTTCAATATTAAATCACCAAATTTTTCGACTTTTAAACAAGCCTGGAATGGTAACTGAAGCTCCGATCCCTTGATTACGATATTCGGGAAATCGAGTAAATGCACTTCTAAGGGATCCAACATTCCCTTTCTGGTTACTATAATTTGCTTAGGTTGCTCTTCGACCGGCAAAGATCGAATAAGTGCAGCTACTTCTTCAGCAGTTTTCCATTTCGCCAACTGTTAAGTTAAGCGAAGATATAATTTTAATTAATGTATTTTTTTTTCCATCGTAATATAATCTTTCTATTATAATTGTACGTGTTACGCACCTGACCTAAACGCTTTTGACCAGCCCAAACAGAAGTATGAATAATTTTTAAAAACAATTGGCCAGTCCTAGGATTAAAAATAAAGATTGCTCCATTTATAGGTTTTGTCGTTAAATTTCCCTCAAATGTTTTATGTATTGTGACACGATAAACATTAGTATCGTCGACAAACCTAAAAAAGTCGACCGATAAAAATTTCCTGATATAAATATATATTTTTATTGTACACAAATGAAAATATGCAAGAGAAAATCAAAGTACCAAATAATTTGATTTGAAAAAAGTTCCCCGTAATTTTGCGACGATAGATACGGTTCTGTAGGTTCTGACGAATAAAGTTGCAACGCCTTTCGAATACGTTCTCGCAATACGTATAGAGCAGGGTTAGCCTTCATAATTTTTGCCATTGCTTGCTGTATAAGAGGTTTACATCCTGGGAACCAGTTACCGTAGGCGCTAATAAACAAAATTGTTAAGTTTGTGAGGTCTCTTTGTGATGGTCAATAAGTTTTTAATAGTTTAATTACAGATATCGTCTGATTAGAATAATTTTTTAAGCAGCAACCGAATCTGTCGTGTATCTGAAATTATTGATTCTAACTTTCAAGAAATGCAGTCAAATAAGGAGGATGCATTTCAATTCCGTAGTTGAGATAATCAAACGAAATAAGACGATTATGAAATGGATAATTGACGTCGTCGAGGATTATGCCTCAATAACTACGAATGACCAATTACTAATTTGATTGAATAATAATACTTACTATATACAAATATATATACCTGTGTAAGTTATAAGCCAGATCAATAGCGATTAATAATCCTGTTGGTGATGGGTAAATAGACATATTGTCCGTTGTATAATCTAAGAATTTGGCTCTAGCGTATCGTTCAATATCATGGGAATCGTAATCTCCCCATCTGAGCTGTACGTCTATCCAATATTTTTGTGTGGTAGTATTATCCATAAGGTCTCTGTTAAAGGAATGAATCATTAATGACAAGCATAGATGATACCGGCTTTGAATACAGTAAAAAAACAGTAAAAAAAAAAAAAAAAAAAAAAAAAAAAAAATTTACGGTTCAACGATTTGGATAGCAAACCGAACGGAAGGAATCCCAGTTTCGCACAGTTGTGTGCCAATATCCATTGGCTGTGCGTACTTGCACTGCTGGGATATTCTGTTTCGTGATGGAGGCTCGTTCTGCTACGGCCTGGGAACTGTTAGCCCAGTTAGCTTGGGTCGTAACGCTTCGAAGATTATGCTATGTTCACATCGCGTGTTATCTGGTCCCCGTGTTGCGCCCCGTGAGACATTCGTTACGGGAAGGTAGCCACGATTCGTTCGATCTATTTCTTCTCCTTCTCCCTTTTTCGCACCGAAACTCGTACATTACCGTTGGAAATTCAGAGACTCTTTCCTTTTCTTTTTTCTTTTATCGATGTGCTCCAAGCTCCAGGCAGCGAAACTGAAAAAACGAAGAGAGAAAAATTAAGGACGATTAATGGGAGCTCGAATAATTTAACCACTTGCGCTGGCAACTGATTGCGGACCATAACGAGCGACCGAACCGTATACAACAATTTGTCGCTATCTTTTTGAACTCGTCGGTGTCATATCACTGGATAGAAATTATTGACAAGTAATATATTTATTATTTGCCTGGGTTATATTTAAGTGTACGTAGAACTGAAAAAATATTGCATTTTTGGAACAAAAAAAGTTC